ATCTGGAAAGTAGATTTGAGGAACACTTGAAACAAAGACGGGAGTCGCCCTCCTGTTCAGGTCTCGCTGACGGGCGGGACGACAGAAGCTTCTTGGCCTTCTTCGCCCGGAATGACGTCGAGCGTGTCGATTTCGAGCAAAGACTGACGGATCATCTCCACTCCTTTGCGCAGATCCTCTTCGCTGATGACGAGGGGAGGTGCAAGACGGATGATATTGACGTGGGTAGGTTTTGCCAAGAGACCCTTGGATTTGAGCAGCAAGCACAATTGCCATGCCGTTCTTCCCTTTTTGGAAGCGGCGTGATCAATGACGATGGCGTTCAGCAAGCCTCTTCCTCTCACGGCGCTCAGCATGGGACACTCGCCGCTCTGCTTCAAAGCGAGCAGATCCGCGCGAAATTTAGCTCCTAGCATCTCTGCTCTTTCCGAAAGCTTCTCGTCGATGAGCACATCCAGCGCTGCGGATGCTACCGCACAACCGAGCGGATTTCCTCCGTACGTCGATCCATGCTCTCCGGGTTGAATGACGTGCATGATGGATTTGTCGGCCAACACTGCGCTCACTGGGTACACTCCGCCCGAGAGTGCCTTGCCGAGGGTGATCATGTCCGGACGAATGCCATCGTGCTGGACAGCCAGCATCTTGCCCGTGCGACCTAGACCGGTCTGGATCTCGTCGCAGATCAACAGGACATTGTGCTTGGTGCACAATTCGCGCACTCGTTGCAGATAGCCAGCGCTGGGAACCACGATGCCAGCTTCTCCCTGAATAGGCTCCACCAAGAATGCGCACACTTTCGAGCCGTGATGCTCCAACACCGCCTCGAGATCTTCGGCGTGATCGTAGCGGATCTTCAAGTCGCCGATGCCCGGTCCGACGCCTTGCAAAAAGGGACCGAAACCATGTCGAGATTCTTCGTCGGTGCTCATGCTCACGATGCCGAGGGTGCGTCCATGAAAGTTGCCAGATACGGAGAGGATGTGTGCATGACCAGGTTGGATGCCTTTGACCTGATAACCCCACTTGCGTGCCAACTTTAACGCCGTCTCGACCGCCTCTGCACCCGTGTTCATGGGCAGCACGCTCTCATATCCAAACAGCTGCGTCACCTTTTGCGCAAAGGGACCAAAAGCGTCGTTGTAGAATGCTCGAGAGGAGAGGGTTAGACGAGAAGCTTGCTGCACCAGAGCCGACACGATGCGCGGATGACAGTGTCCTTGATTGACGGCGCTATAGGCAGAGAGAAAGTCCAAGTAACGTCTACCTTCTGGATCCCACACGTGTGCACCTGCACCTCGTGAAAAGACCATGGGAAGAGGGTGGTAGCTGGGGGGTGAGGTGATTGGATGCGGCGCGTGAAGAAGGGGATGCGTGGGTGGATGAGCAAGCAAGCAGAGCAGCGGTGACGCACACGCACGCGCAACGCCAACTCCTGCCTTGCAAAACTCACTTGTGCGCGCCATACTCGTGCTCCAAACGCATCACCTCTTTGCTTCCCAGTTTTTCGCCCTGCGTGCCGGTGAGCGGTGCAGCGATGGCAGCGCCGATGCTGGAAAATGCAACTTTGCCATCCAGAGCAACGCTGGACACTTTGTTGCTGGCTAGATTGACCAACTGCGCTGCGCTGCTGCTGCTGCTGGTGGTGGTGGTGGTGCGACTGGATTGGAGTGCATCTTTGTTGGCGAATGGCGAGGAGGCGCCGTTGGAGCTGCCATGGCCTAGCGCTGTTGGTGCCATGCTTGATAAAGACGGGAGAGAGCGCGCGAAAGCAAAGGATGAATAGGGGGGTGACAAACAATAAATAGAGTTACTGTGACTTGTTTGAGTGCGCCGTGCGCGCGGATGAAAGAGGTGGTGGAGTGGAGACAATGACGAATCACTGTTGTGCGTGTGTGTGTGGGAATGAATGGGGGCAAAGGCAGGCAAGCCTCTGCGCGTGAGCATAACCACTCGTGACTTGCGCGCTCGCCCATGGCAAGTCGCGAGTTGCATGCATGCCTATAGCTCATTCCATTTAGCTGCATCATGTGCATGCTTGTCTGCTCAACGACCAACCAAGCGTAGGCTGATTGAGAGCCTGGCTGGCTAGCTGGCTGGCTGCATGGCTGTGATTGTGGCTGTTTCGCTGCAACTGCCACTGCCACTGCCACTGCCACTGCCACTGTTGATAGCGGCATGAGCCCACACAACCGCGATGCAACCAGCAAGTACAGTGAGTCGTGAGTGCATGGGCCCCACCGGCGCACATGCAACGCACGCCATGCCACTCGTGCCTTCAGACCTGTGACTGCTTATTGGGGTCAAGCGGCGCGGCGGACACGTCCGTCTTGGCCAAGACTCGATTCAGATTCGTACAGCGTGCAAACGCTGCTTGGCCCACTCACTCACGACTCACCACTCACGACTCTGTGAACTGGCGATGCAGCATCAGACGCAAGGTACGAGGCATGCTGCTGCTGCTGCTGCTGCTCCTTTTTCTCTTTTTTCTTTTCTTTTTTGGCCGGTGGGGCCGCTGCGTGCTTGGGCAACCAAGGCATCATATCATACAGACAGACAGACAGGCAGACATCAGCACGGGACCGAGTCAGAGTCAGGCCCCATGATGCAGGCGCGCATGCATGCGTGTGCGTATGCAGGCATGCAGGGCCATGCATGCACTCTGCTTGCTCGACGGATAAGCTGCAATTAAGAAGAGGCTCGCGCGGTCTGCGCAACGTCTTCAGCGCGCCATATTGTAAATCCCATACTCGATACTTGGCCCTATCTCGCAGCAACCCTTGCAATTAAGCATGCACATGCACGCTGTCTGTGCGCGCGCCCCCGCCCCGCCCCGCCCCGCCGCACCTTGGCCCGATTTCAGACCGACAATGATTCTTCACGTGATACTGCTCGTCGTGCGGGAAAAATCTAGACGCTTCGCGAGGGGCCGAGAGGGAGCGAGCGCGCGCGCGAGAGAGAGAGTAGTGAGCGTGCCGTGCACGGACGCTCTTCATCAGCATCTGATGCATGCGAAAGGGACGACAGGGCGGTGCGGGGCGAAGAAGAAGGCTCAGCTTCAAAAGCCGCGCGACGATCGGGCATCCCCTCTGCCTCTCCCTCTCCCTCTCGCACGCACCATCGCCCCCCAAATTCCCTCGCAGCACAGTGCAATCTTCACACTCGCGCTCGCGCTCGCTCTCTCTCGCTCGCTCGCAATCTACGAATCTTGGCTGACAAGTCCACACGCACCGCCCTCCTCATCCGACGCCTGCCCCGCCGCACACATCCATCCTGCACCGCTCCAACTTTAGAAGCACAAAAAAAGATGCAAGCAAACTCGAACAACGCCACTTCTAGACCTGACGCGACGACGCATCAGACCGTAGCCCTTTCATCCGAAAAGGAATTGGACAGGCTTACACAGCTCAACTTTGAGGAGCTGAAAGAGGAAGAGGAAGATGATGGTGAGTTGTTCCCCCTCTGCGTGGCCAGCACATGTCATGCGCGACCGACGACGCCAGACGCTCACTTTGCTCCCCCTCCGCACTCGCACTCGCACTCGCACTTCGATAGCATACAAGCTGCTAGAGCTATCATCTGCAGATGCTTGGAGCATGGGCAATACGCTCCGATCTTCTGCGCTAGCACTGCTCTCGCGCAGACGAGATGTGACCAAGCCAGGCTTGGTCTTTCGTATTCAACTGCTTTCCGGCTTGGTCCTCTTTCAAATCAGTCTGGGCGCAGAGTCAAGTTTGAGATTGATGGAGATGGTGGAGAAAAAGATCAATGTTGGTGAGTGTGCGGGGCGGGGTGCATCGAAGGGGGGG